GGCCATAGATAGGCCTAAATAAAATGTTTTTAATTGTGTACCAGTTTAACGTTGAATATTATTTATGATTTTAAATGTTCAGCTTGTTGGTTCAGTAACCATGAACACTGTGTCAAAGCTTATGAACGGAAAGGAACAGGCCAATATACAAACTGTAGCCATTTCTCTGCCATATTTTTGTAAACTTTCAAATAAATTTTACATGATTCTCAAAACTAATTGTTTCTTGATTCCCGCAAGTTTCACTTCGTGTCATTTTCAGCAGGAACTTTAAGTTAAGGACTGTTCAGGAGTAAATATAGAATAAAAAACGCAGTGCTAATTGGCTTTATATTTACAGGTGTCAGTCTACATTAGTAGTACAAAACGTCAATTCCAACAGCGTTTCAATGTAAATTATCAAAACTCTGTTTTCAACAAATCCAGCGTATACACCAACACGCGCACGTTTTATAACTGTCCAATTCATCTATTGGTTTTTGAATTATTTCTTCAGCTTGTAGCAAGAGTTAAAGATAAAGAAAACTATTTTCATCAAAGATCTAAAACCCTTCCTACAACAAAAGATAACGTAAAGGAACTTTTTCTTAAGCTATAGGGCTTAGACCTAACATTTTCTTTCACGAAATGTTTATCGTATCTTGTCAAGTCTGAGATTAATTAATGTTGAAAGTGCTTAATGTAAAGTGACAACAGATTAACAAATGGTCTGTTGAAAGTGCGAAATATGTATAGACAGATTGATCAATGATTTTCAAGTACTGAATATATATAAACAGAATAATCCATATTGTGTTTCAATATTGAATATAAAAAAAAGCAGATTAATCAATACCTTGTTGCCAAAAGAAATTAATGTACTAAATATTAAACACAAAAAAAGCAGCACATTATTTATATTGCACATAAAATATATTTTTGGTATGATTGTTTTTAAGGGTTATCTATGCTCTGCCCACCACGGGTATCGAAACCCGGTTTTTAGCGTTGTAAGTCCGCAGACATACCGCTGTGCCACTGGGGGCGTTTTAGTAGATTATTAAATGATTTATTGAAAGTGCTAAACATAAAGAGACAACATTAATTAGTCTTCTGTTGAAATAAGTAAATATAAAAAGACAATAAATCAATAAACGATTTGTTGAAAATACTAAATTTAAAGATTAATTATTCTTTTGTTCAAAGAACTATATATAAAAAACAATAAATCGGTAAACGATTCCTTGAAAATAATAAATATAAAGAGACAACAGATTAATTAATCCTTTGCTAAGAGAGCTAAGTACAAAGAGACAACAGACTGATTAATCGTTTGTTGAAAGAATTAAATATAAAAAGACAATTAATCGGTAAACGATTTATTGAAAGTACTAAATATAAAGAGACAACAGATTAATTAATCATTTGTTGAAACAACTAAATATGAAAATATAATAAATCAGTGAACGATCTGTTGAAAGTCGTAATTGCAAAAAGAAAGAAACAGATGAATTAATATTTTATTGAAAGAACTGAACATAAAAAGACAATAATTCAGTAAATGGTTTGTTGAAAGTACTGAATATAAAGACAAAGCAGGTTAATTAATTCTTTGTTGAAAGAACTAAATATAAAAAGACAATAGATCAGTAAACGATTTGTTGAAAGCCATAATTATAAAAAGAAACCAGATGAATTAATCCTTTATTGAAAGAACTAGATGTACAAATACAATAATAAATCAGCAAATGATGGGTTGGAAGTACTAAATATAAAGAGAAAACAGATGAATTAATCTTTTGTTGAAAAACTAAATATAAAAAGACAACAGATTGATTAATCTTTTGTTGAAAGAACTAAATATAAGAATAACAATAAATCAGTAAACAATTTGTTGAAAATGCTAAATATAAAGATTCAATAGATTAGTAAATAATTTTTGTTAAACGTTCAAATCTATAAACACATTAATCAATGTTTTAATAAAAATGATAAAGAGACAACCGATTATTAAATGTTTTGTTGAAAATACTAGATATAATGAGACAACAGATTACCTAGAATTTTATTAAAAGTACTATGCATAGAGAGACAACAATTAACCGGTGTTTTGTTGAAAGTATGAAACATTAAGGAATAACAGACTGTAAAATTTGTTAACATTACGAAATTACAAATAGAAAATACAATGAAATTATTAATCAAAAGCATTACTTATGCGGAGATAACACATTTAAGTACGCATCGTCATTGACACTATTAAGTATAAGTTAACGTCAAGTTTAGATAATATTAATTGGAAGTTTTACTATTGAAAAAGAGTGAAGGGATATCTCTTTAGTTAGTGTCCATCAAGCCAAGGTTGCATGAAACTTTATCATGTAGAAGGAAATTGGATGTTTGGTATCCAGTTGATCAGGGTTGTATGAAATGTTATAATGTAAGAAGAAATTGAAGAAGGTTCAGTAGGTCAATACTATATAAATGATTATCGTTAGAAAGTTGGAGGTGGGGTTATCCATTGGGCCAAAGCTGTATGAAAGTTTATTATGTAGGCAGAAGTTGGAAGAGGTCCAGCAGGTGAAGGCTGTATAAAAGGTTATCATGTAGGAGGATATGGCTGTATGAAAGGTATATAATATGGGAGAAATTGGAGGGTTGGTAACCAACAGGATATAGTTGTTTGAAAGATTATCATTTGGGAGTGGGTTCATGTTACAATCTTACTAACAATCTCATTCAATGTCTACCTTAAATTACACAACGTTTTCATCGCTATGATTTCAACACCTTACCTGTTTAGAAATCGGTGGTAGGCGACCTGAAATTGTTAGCTGCACTGGATCAACACTCAACCATTGACGATTTGAAGCCACTATTCTTACAGGTCGACGTTCCCCTCGCGCTTTCGTGCGCATCAGGGAAATGACGTTTTGATATTTTCCTCTTGCTCAATTAACCTTTATCAGTCAGTAGCAGTTAACGTTTTACCCAAAACTACACTAATAATAGCGTCATGACGCAGTACAATGTGTTATGAGAACACGATAGGACGTCTATAAGATAAGAATAACATGGATATGTTATACAGTCCTCTATGGAGTGATATATTTTATATATCCACACCCTCGAACGTTAAGTGGTAGTTAAATATATTTATCCTTACTTTCATTCAGTTATGAAAGGTTATTTGCCATTAGAACAAAGGTTTCCTGTTAACACCAGTTAAAGTTATAAGTCTGATAGTAACCACCGTATTGAACTGACGAATCATCCTACTGAGCGCATATACTTAATTGGCTTTCGTGCTTCACCGTAGCCAGCTTCATTGAACGTAGCTAACTAACTACATATGTGACGTGAAGTCACGTGAGAACACTTCAAAATAACTATTTGGTTCTAGGATGGGATTAACCACTATCAGAAAATATAACGTTTTGTTTCTCTTAAGAGTATTACTTTTATATGACTCCTTTTATTATACGCTTCGTCTGTTTTTAAACTGTCTTTCTTCTTGAGAACCTCTTTCAGTTTACTTCTAGTTCTATTTTTAAGTTAGGCGTCTTTCTTTAATTACAAGTCTTTTTATTACAAATAGATGTGTGTTTTTAAACTAAATATTGTTCTTTTAGTTTACTTCTTAGCAGGCCCGGCGTTAAGGATAGGTAACATAAGCGTTTGCCTAGGGCACCGAAAATTTCGGGGGCTCCAGTGTGAGCAGGCACATCCTTAATTTCTGTCAAGGGCGCCAAACAAGATAAGCTATCACCAACCGTGCTACTAGGCCTATTTTTAAACTAAGTGTCTTTATATATGGCTTTATTGATTACATATGCACGTCTTTTTCTAAAATAAATGCATTTTATCTTAAAGGCTTCTATTACTTTTTTTCTAGGCCTATTTCTAAAAAAAGCGTCTCTTTTGTACATGATTTATTTCATTATACGTACATTCCTGCTTTTAGCCTACAGATCTTTCTTTCTTAAGGTTTTTTTATATTTTACTTCTAAGCCTACTTTCAAAGCAAGCATCTCTCTTTGATACGACTTCTATGATCATACGTATATGCCTTCTTAAACTTACATAACTTTCTTTCTTAAGGTTTCTTTGATTTTACTTCTAGTCATGTTTTCAAACAAAACATCGTTCTTCCATATGACTTCTTTAACTATACGTACATGCCTTCTTTAAATTACATATCGTTCTCTCATATGACATCTCTGATTATACTTCTGTTTTTAAACGAAGCATCTTTCTTTACAGTTGCTTTGATTTTAAATATATTGCCGTCTTTATACTAATTAATATTTCTTTTTATGGGCTCTTTGATTTTGCATATAAGCATATTTCTTCTAAGGATATTTTATATATGTGTGTATACCTACTTTGCTTTGCTACTGTTAATTATTTTCTGAATGCAGATTAATATGTTTTTGGTATTGATAACACTCACTAAATGTAGCATAACATAATTCTTGCCATTAGTTACCGTCTAACTGCAGTATAACATATTGTTACGTCTCCGTTCGTTAGTTAATTTTCCGTAAATTTGTTCCGACGAAACTTTAGCGACACAAGTCCTTTCTT